ATATTATGGCAAAGGTGTTTGCAAATGTTTGCTTTTGAGATGTGTTTGTTATATTTTGAATGCAGTGCTTCATTTTGCAAGAGATGTGAGGCATTTTGCATTTTGTGTGTGCAATTCTTGGATTTGTGTGTAAAGTTTTGAAAAAAAAAGAGGCAATTTGAAAATGTGTGTAAGCAGTTGAAAACAAACTGTAAGAACACTTGCATGTAGTCACATATATAACTACATCTGCAATTAATTTCTGTAATTACTTTTATAATTACACTGTTGACCTTACACTTTAACCCATCGTTAAACCTACTCATACCATGAAACCTGTCCCTAACCTTACCTGTAGCCCACCTCAGTTGTGGCAAAAGTGTTTTGCAATACCATAAAGTACAAATGAACCAAACAATTTTTTTTTTGATAGACATACATAGACGCCTGATGTAAAGTAGGACCAAGTTAGAGTTCCTGACCTGTGCAACCTGTATGAAGTGTGCGATCACAGCAGCTCTCTGCGGTGCGGTGGGTTTACTCAGAACCATCAGCTGAATCCACTGCGAGACGCTGTTAAAGAGCGTAATAAACCTCTCCAGGATGGGGTTATCTACCGTACAGCCGTGCATCACAAAGCTGTGGTAATCCTGAAACTGAAACACACATTAAACAAATGGTCACCGATCACAAGAGAGGAATAACTCCATAATGACTTCATCACAGATTACAAAAATATGCTGTAAGAACAATTTGCTAGCATTCAATTTTATATGAAATATATATTTTCCAAAAGATGTTTTACTCAACAAAATCAAAATCAAAGCCCTAAATCCCATTAAGTTCCCATTAAGAAATTTCTGAATGCTCTCTTCATTTTTTTTAAATCCTCTGGCGTTATTCACATGGTGGTTAAAAATTAGAAGATTTTCAAAATAAATTCAATAAAATGAATGTACTATATTTTAGTTTGATGATTTTATTTCATATTTTGTATTTTAGGGGATTTTATTATATTTATGGAATAGTTATTATGATATATTTATTACCTGTTAACCACGTTTTGAGAATGCTTTGGAGCACAGACTTAAATTTGTTTTCTTTTTAAAGAACACACTTGGATTATTGCTGAAGTGAAAAAAGTTTAAAAAGCAAAACAAAAAAAAAGTTTTAGAAGTTTAAGTTACACAAAAATAATTTTTTTAACTTTTATATGAAATATATATTTTCCAAAAGACGTTTTACTCAACAAAATCAAAGCCCTAAATCTAAACAAGGTATGTTCCAAATTTGAGGTTGATATCTCAAAAAATGAGTTTTCAGTAAGATTTTGTTTGGGCGCAGTACCAAACGCTTGCACTAGATGAAATTAGCTTCCCATTGTTCTCCAATGCGAACAAAACAAGTGTGACCATTTTTTTTCAGCGCCATTTAACCTTTTCAAATCATGTCCATGTTTCATACCATTCTGATGAAGTAAAAAATTATCAAACAAAACCCAGAGGGTTAAATGCAAACACGTGCACTCAACTGCATATCCAAGATTGTATGGATATCTATGTGGTGACTCATTCTCATCAGGTTCTTAATATAAGATAAAAATAAATGCATCAGCTAAACACTCCACGCAGACATGAGAGACTTTCAGCACTTTTAGATTTTAATTAGGACATTATTTGGTCTATTTCTATCTCTTCTGAATGCAATTAGAGCACTTTCATCCCAACAATGATAGCAAAACCTGTACCCGCAAACGTACCATTATCTTGCAGAAGGATTTGTACTCCAGATAGGTCAGATGTTCAGCAAGCTCACAGGGGTCCAGGTGATCAAACAAAAGAGACATTTTTCTCCTTTTTGACATCGATGGAACTCTTTGGGTAACCTGTCGTTTCCATTTATACGAGGGCCTGCAGCGGAAAAATATGCTATTTCAGATAGGACTAATGTTGTTATTCTTGGCAGTTGTCTAACATGCTGAAATCTGACAGTGCTGTATAAGGACGTTTCTCATGACATAAAAAAAAAAAATCATCAACTACTCAACCTCATTTTATCTGAACTTGTTGTTCAACTCGTGGTTTTGATTTTTGTACATTTGAAAATGCAGAAGTGTAAATAAGATTTGAGAGCTACGTTCTTAAAAAATAAAGGTACTTTTTTGGCATACATGGTTCCAAGAAGAGTCTTTAACATCCATGGAATCTTTTCATTCCACAAAAGGTTCTTTATACACCCTTAAAAAAAATAAAGGTTCCAAAAGGGGGTTTTCACAGTGATGTTATAGAAGAACCATTTTGGTTTCTCCAAAGAACCTTTCAGTGAACAGTTCTTAAAAGAACCGTTTTTTCTTAGTGTGAAGAACATTTTAATGATCTGAAGGACCTTTTTCCACTATAAAGAAACTTTTGTGCAATGGAAAGGTTCCATGGATGTTAAAGGTTCTTCGTGGAACCATAGATGCCAATAAAAATATACATGTTTTGAACAGCAGTGCGAATAAAGCCTCGTACACACCAGGACGATTATCGCGCGTGCTTATCGCCAACGTTTTTCGACGTGTCTTTTGTGTCCCCAGTACACATCGAATCCTATTTGATCTGCAATTCCTCTCTATAACAACTCCCTCTTATCGAGATTTGTGTAGTCGCTGTCGCGTTTGTCATAAAGCCCTTTGTGTTCAGACACCAATGAGACCAGCAGCTCTACATTCATCTTGCCTCGATGCATCTTGGTCTTCTTACTTCCTCTTCGTCGTTAGGTATCTGTGACTACGTTTACATGGACATCAGTAATCTAATTATTTACCTTATTCTGAATAAGCAAATATTATGATTAAGGTGTTTACATGAGTTGCTTTTAGAATATTCCTTTCATGTTCCCGTTTTACATGTTATAGTACATAGATCGATTAATGGCGCACGTCATTACGTCACCACGCGACACCATCCGACGTCCCCTCCAGAATTTCATGTATAAACATATAGTTCGTCTTTGTGATGATGCCATATACAGTTTTGGGTGTTTCATTTTTAATTTACTGAAAGCTTCAAGTGCAGTTAATTATTTGTCATGCTATACATTCAAACAGACTATGGCGTCATTATTTTGTTTGCCGTCAAACGGTTGAGCACTGCCGTAACTTTTTTTTTTTTTAATTCGCTGCTTATTGATAGTAAGTAGGTAGTTGTTTTGTAGTAGTTATGTTTAGGTATTGGGTAGGGTTATTATGGCAATGCGGAATAAGGCATTCGTATGTGCTTTATAAGTACATATAAACAACCAATATGCTAGTAATATGCATGCTAATGAGCAACTAGGTAATAGTGAATATTGTTCCCTAATCTAAAGTGTTATCAAATAAACCTACACATTTTGGTGTGGCACTGTATTTTATATATCATCATTTTCTATTCTTAACTTTTAATTCATTTTAAATCAATTTTTAAATCATTTAGACATTTAAATTCCTTGCTTTTGTTATTGTGATTATTTGTATGATTATGTTCATTCCTTTTATATAAAGCACGTTGAATTATGATTGTGTATGAAATGTGCTATACAAATAAACTTGCCTTGCCTTTTGTGGTGACTTCCTTGGTCAACTTCCTTGACCAGCTTTACCAGCTAAGCTTTGTTCATAAAAAGCATGCTTATTGTTTGCTGATTCATCATTTCTGTAGATCCGCAGCAGAAACTTCTGCTTCTCAACTGCTCTAATTCATCAGACTAAATGTTCCAGCCAAACTGTACTCTATAAGACTGTTTCTTTATAGACTCACCAAAAGATTGTATGCAGAAGTCCACCAACTCATCCACTGTTCCTGAATCCATAGGCAACGGATCCATCATATCTCTCTTTTCCTTCCTCTATCTTCACTTTCTAACAGCCTTCTGTCTTTCTCTTCTCCTCCAGTGATCTTCCTCTTCTCTTTTGTCTGTCAATAGAGATTGTTACTGTAAGGAGAAGAACACGCTAAACATCCTTGTGAAAATGAAGTGCGCTTAATTGTATTGAATGTGCACTTGTAGTGTACTTCAAAACTTAAAAGTATATTTTTTTTAAATGTATGCAGTTAATATATTAATGGAAGAAAAGGCCACTTAAGTGTACTTAAATAGAGCACTTGTACTTGCATGAGTGTTTCTTAACACACTTTAGTAGACTTTTAAAAAGTGCATTTTATAATGTGCTTCAAATTTTAATTTCATATATTTAAAAAACTGTACTTCCAGATAATATTAATATTAAATATTAAAATAATACTAAATAAATAAAAAGGTCACTTAAGTGCACTTCAGAAACATAGAAATTAAAAAGTACTCTCTTTAAAACTTATGTACATTTTTAAAAAGTGCACTTTTGTGTAAAATTACACAAAATGATCATTACAACTGTGTAATTACAATTAAGCCCTATATTTAAACACAACATACAAGTTTCAATAGAAATTACATTTGCCATCAACATGCAATTAAGTGTCCAAAAACGTTACATTCAGTTTGCATTAAGTATATTCTTTTCAAGTATAATGAGTAGGCTACTGTTTTAAAAAGTATGCTAAAGAAAGGAAAACTTGAAATCGCATCATATGACCCCTTTAAAACAAAAATGGGTTCTTGTCCAGAATAAGCTACAAAGTGGACCATGGTGTAGATTAGGCCTGTCACGATAAATGACAAACTTTTAATTTTTAAGAATATTTAGATAATGGAAATTAAGTATCAAAATATTAGATACCTTAAAAAACGTGAAAAAATAGTAAATAAACATTTTCTAACAAAAAGTGAAAAGTAGCAAGTAGAAAAAAAGAAAAATGCACAAAGATTTTTCCATGTACAGATTTTTCCATGACCTGATTTTCTCTGTAAATTAAGGGTGCACACTATTGCTGAAAAACACGATCACTACTTAGCAGTCAGATGTTCGTATGCACAAAGGTACAGATCCCTAAACAAGACCATATCTGCAGATGAAACTCTTTTTGTAGAAGCATTTTTTAAATTTGAACTAGCACCTCATGACTACACCACGTTATGTACGAGAAGCTGCAAAAGACACAGGCACAAGTGCAATGTACAAAACATGGTTACATTCATTTTTAAGTAAATATAATGTGCGATATATTGCGTCACCAAAATTTATTGAGGTCATGTACATATATTGCGCGATAAGTCAAGATCAAGATATATTGATTATTGTGACAGGCCTAGTGTAGATTAAAATTATTGCTCTGCCAGGTTAGTTTGAGATGAGTCTACATGCATACAGAGAAGAAAATACTGTTATGTGGTGCAACAAATAAGTCATGTGGTGCAACCGACATGTAGAAAAATATAGCAGCTTTTATGTGGCCAAACAGAGAAATGGCCGCACTTGAACCTCAGGAAATACAAAATGAAAATGATATACATCTATCTGATATGCAAACGCTTACCCACAAAAGGTAATGAGTGAGTGAGCCCATGTAGGGTTTTAACCTGTACATTTTACAATTGTTTTTACATTTAATTTTACAATTGCATTTTACAATTTTACAATTGTAAAATGTCATGTGGAATGACTACCCAAAAACGTAACTATATTTATGGATTACTAATTCCAAAAATAACACATATAATACAAATGATATCTGTAAAAATACTTTGCACCTAGAATGATATATAACATTTTTAAGTATAATAATAATAATTATAATTATTAGCATGTTGCTTTTTACAGCACATGACATTTTTAGAGTCATTACATTTGTACTTTTTCTGAAAATGGTATAAAAGTTCATCAAAAACATATAAAACCATCATGAATAAAAAGATTACATTTTTAAGAATTTGGCATATTTGATTTAAAACCACATTTGAAGGAATTTTCATTTTCTTCACAATATTATTTGTCATCTAAATACAAATGAACATTTTTATGAGCGACAATAAACTATTTATTTATTACAAACAATAAATACATAAACAAATAAATTGATAAATGAATTAAGTCATTCATTACAAAGTTAAATATCCTCACTTAGACGTGATGAGGGGTGCTTTTTATTTTATTTACAAACAAAGAGTATCACGATGAACAGACTTTATTGAACCACAAGGAATGAAAACACACATAGCACGGGGAATTGACGTTTAACACCGAAAACTGGACACAGGAAAACACTGGCTTAAATAACTGGAACCAAATGAGGGAATTAACGAGAAACACCTGAAATCGATGAACACAATCAAACACAGGAGAAACTGGGTCATGGGGAGCACATGGGGAGCAAAACACAAGGCAGGAACACAGGGGCAGTCCAAAGGCGTGACAATCGCTCACATGCAAATTAATTAAATGTAGTTTTTCCTATATAGTATTTTTCATAAAGGCAAGCAAACTGTCACAATACAGCTCTGGATTGTGGTGATCAATAGCGGAATAGCTGAACATAACCTGGAATTTCTAACACCTTTTTTAAAAGAAATGCATCAGTTTAGAAAGTTCTGAATAAAACAGCTTCTGAGCTCATCTCTGATACAATTAAAACACTCAACATGAGCCCTGCGTGTGTATATGTGTTTGTGCATTGTGTGTGTGTGTGTGCAATTGTCGTCTGTAAGCAGCTGTTTTCTGAAGCTTCTGTTGCTTGGTGACAGAACCCCAGAACTATTGATCCTCACAGGCAGGGGTTTAATCGAAGTGTGTGTGTGTGTGTGTGTGTGTGTGTGTTTGTCCGGTGTTTTATCGCAGAGGTGTTTTGAATATTTCAGTCTCTCCTGCAGAGTGTGTGTCCTGACAGCTCAGGGCTTAAATGATATTTCTAACCCAAGTCTGCCTTCATTCTAGAGAGAAAGTAACTTCAGCTATGAAATACATATCATCAGTGTTTATTTCATCCTCTATCTCTCTCTTATGACT